GTAATTCTCAGTATAATCAAGTCACAGTCATTATTTGCATCATTTCTGGAATCTGTACACTGAGACTCTGATGTAAGAGAACAGTACATTCCAGGAAATTGAACTTTCTGATTTTTTAGAAGTATCTATTTTGATCCATTCCCATTGCCAATAAAAGATATGTTTTCATTCTCAAGTAAAGTGAAAATTTAAATTTAAATTATACTTAGTTTATCAGTTTCCACTCACACCAACCTCACCTCTCTGTTTACAAAGCACAGAGGAGACCTTTCGATTCAAGACCTCAGTACCTCTGGATTCGTAATTTACATCCTGTGCACACTCAAAATGCTTAGATTTTGCAAAGACAATAAACTCCCTTCTCTGGCCTCAGCTTTCTGGTCATCCAGGTTCTTATTCCACTAAACTTGGCAGGGAAGCTCCTCCAAAGAGACTTTCTCAACCATTCCAGGATTATCTTTCTTCCTAATTGTCTCTCCACGTTTGTGTTCACATCTGGCCAGAGAAAACAATAAGGATGAATTCTCTTTGCCAACAATTGCTTTGCCTGCCATTGGGCTCTCAATCCTATTTTCTTTTAATGACCTGTGTGAGATCTGTAGCTATTGAAAAGAGTGAAAATTAAATTGTGCACCATGGTCAAAACTCATGGTTCTGATTCTCAAAAGCAGAAATCTTCATTATCGCTTTGGAAAGAACTGGCAGTTTCTCAGAAAGTCAATCATAGAAATTATCATAAAATCCAGGAATTCTGTTCCAAGATATTTACCTAGGGCATTAAAAATATACAGCAGACAAATTCATACATAGATGTTCACAGTAGCATTATTCACAATAGCTGAAAAGTGGAAACACCCCAAATGTCCATCAAATGGTTAATGAGTACACAAAATATGATACATGTATATAATGGAATATTGTTCAGTCATAAAAAGCCATGACTCACTGTTCCCGCTGTGGCATGGCTGAACTTGGAAAACAGTATGCAAAGTCCAAGACATCAGGCACAAGGGATATTGCTTGAATTTACTAGAAATCGCAGACTCATCCACTAAGAAAACTAAACTAAAAAAATATGCCATTTGCCAATTGTTGTGCTATCTAAACTATCTGGGAGATTTAGACAGCAGTCAGAGCAGATTCTGAGATGCTTAGAAAATTTTGCCAGGAATAAACGGTAGCTATTTCTATTTTCAGAGGGCTTACTCTTCATCTTTGGTATTAAAAAATCTGACCTTAAATAATAAAAATATTTTCTATTTCATTCATTGTTACATTTAAAATCTGTAGCCTACAATTAAACCTCTAAATGAATTCAGATAAAAATGAAAATAATAATCAACTAATCTGCAGGTTGATGTTAAGAACCAACCAATGGAATGAATGATTGTTGCACTTTCAAAAAAGTGGTTAACCAAATATAGCTCTAAATATATGCTTTGTATTTAATTCTTTGCATCATTGTCAGTGTTTCTAAGTGGCATGTTCATTTAGGACAAATAAGCCATAAAAACAGTAGATGCTTAACAAATCATGCCAATTTTTAACATATTCATTGCAACAAGTTCTTTTTCTGCTATGCATTGTACCTAGTAGTTGTGGGGAAGGAAGTGTTTTTTTAAAAGTGTGATTTCTATGGTCTTTGACTTCTAGAGTTTTACTCATCAAACTTACAGTAAATGACGCTGATTCTCATGGACCAGACATATGAAGGGGAAAGAGCCTTTGAAAGAGTTTGTGCTTTATATTCTGTTATACTTCATGAAAAGAAAAAGACTTTTAAAACTGGGTGTAAAAAGTCTAACTTTATGCCCTCCACAACATAGCAAGAAAGAAGTGACTTAAATTTCAGCAAGAAAGGGGATTAGAATACAACTTGGAAAATTTCTGGCCATTGGAGGATTCTGAGCACATAAATTATTTGGGTAATTCATCACAAAATGAGATAGCAAAATAAATAGTATCAAAGAGTAAAACTATAAAAACCATGAATTAAAACATTAAATAAAGTCCTGTTTAAAATTAGGTGTTATCCTACTTTGTATAAATCATCCTATATATTGATACCATTCCAACATCACCCAGAACTGGGCATATCTCTATAACATCTGATTGAATATGAATTGGGAAACATTGAACAAGTTTCAGCAAGGGTCAAATCTGATTACAAGGCATAATGATTAGAAAAAGTGAGTTTATAACGCCACATGTTTCAATTTTCTACGTTTCTTTTAGTATCCAGATTTCAAATTTTAAATTTCCTAATAGCTGAGGTAAACTTTTTAACAGAAGACTCTGAAAATTGCAGTGATTTAATTGGTTCACATTAAAGACTCTTAGAAGCCTAAAGAAAACGTCTTTCCAGATGAGCAAGAGGTTGGATAAATGCAATGACATATGGTTTGTTTTTTATAGCTACAATATGCGAAAAATAGTAGCATAACACATGTATTCAATGATATATATGTATTTATACATATAAATATATATTCTGCTTATAAATTATGAGATAAGATTCTTTTGTACAAATGTAACTTTGTTTTCTTTCTCTTTCTTGTTCCCTTTAGGAATAAAAATAACAAGTGAAACTTAGAACAATTTTAAACATCTCATTATACCAAGGATCTTGCAAAAGATAAAATCAACGAATGCAAAACCATGTTGCCACACGGTCCCCTGCACAGACTTGTAAGCGAGCTGTCTGCAGGGTCTCAGAGCCTCAGGGCAGGAAGAATGTCCATTGATCTTATTATGAAGTCTCCCCTCCCCCTGCAGGCTTCCTCAGAATCATTCCAGATGGATGGGTCATGAACTAATCCTTAGTATCTCTCAGGAAGGGTATTTCTCACATCCTTTGGCAAACTCAGAACTTCCCCCTGGAAGTTTTTCTTTTATTACCCCTGCATCCTTGAGCCCATCAATTCACTTATAGAGATGTGAAAGGCATCCAGTTATTATATTTTATGTACGCAATTTTTGAATTTTCAAAGATTGCTGTTTAAGTGATGACCTCTTTATCTTTAAAGCTAAATAAAAATCTCAATTGATATAAACATTTCCCTCAAATGCTGTTCTTATTTTTCCATTTTTAAAAATCTTCTGACGGTTTATAACTATTTTCAGAAAGTCCCTATTTTGGAGGAGAGTATCCTAACCTAAAAAGAGCAGAGCATATTCAGATTACCTCCAATAATTAGAAAAGGAATTATAAATGCATTGGGAAAGCTTGACTGGTGTCCACTGCAGTTTCCCTGACAGACCTGAAGTATATCCAGGGATAAGCCAAGAATTAAATCTGCCAAAACATTTAATAAGATATAGTTACTATGATTATGAAAAACAGAAAAGGTCGATCATATTAAACCAATCTACCCTTCAAAGTCTTGACTACTTTGGTGTTACTCCAGAGAGACCTCAGGCTTGACATCTTCCTTTGCTCTGTCACCCCCTCTGCTGGTAATGCCAAGAAGCAGCCCTCAGATCAAGACCAGCAGCATGGGTGATGAGGGGAAGAGAGAGGTGGATGCTTCAAGAATCTGTGATTCTCAAACTTCAATATGAAAACTTGCTTCAGGAGATCTTGTTAATATCCAGGTTCTATTTCAGTAAGTCGGGGCTGTGACATGAGATTCTTCAATGGTAGCAAGTTCCCAGCTCATGCTGGACTTTTTGTTCACACTTTGAATACTTTTATATCAATAATAACCTAACACAAAATAATAAACTAACACAAAATACCTCAGTGAGACCTTCTAGCCTAACAGCAATCTGATATCTGCAGCCTTTATGAAGCTGTATCTAGTAGCTGCTGTGATTCACAAATGAAAGAGTTTAACTTCCTTTGGAATATTTCTGTAGTTACTTCAGTAATCTACTTCCACATATGTCATAACCATGCTGTTGACTACATTCAAATACTGGAATCTAGATAAAAAATACTACGATGGTTTGTTATATGGAATGAGATTGTATATTAAATGGAACATTGAACCACTTCTCTAGTTTTACAGTCAGCAAGGGAGGCCTGAGGAGAATACGTGACTTGACCAAGGTCACACAGCTTATACAGAGCAGCAGGAATAAATCTAATTAGGCTGACAAGAGCTCTCACACTGTCGGTCCAAATTTTTTTCCAGTTTTATAATCTTTCAAAGTAACAGAATCATATCTGCTAAATGCTACAGATCATTATGTATACAATCACAAATAGTAGGAACTATGACTGTGCGTCTTATCCTCACAGTTCCTCACATCTTATTCTTTGCAACCCAGTGCCCCACCCTCTTATCAGGAAATTGGATTTTTAATGTCCAGTAGACAGAAAAAGAGTAGCTAGACCTTGTCTTGTTAGCATCACCTATCTTGGGTGTTTCATACTCATTTAGTTTTATCCTCTAACATTCAATTAATTAAAACAACGTATATTAGATCTGCATTTTTCTTTAAAATTCCCTACAAGAATAACACAAGTCAATTTCAAATAGGAGTGTTGAGAGGAGTCTTACTAAGTATGCACTTAATAAGTGATTTGTTATTTGGCTAGAAGAATGAATGAATTCAGGTAAAGTCATCATGGATAAGGAGCAAAACAAAGATCTTCAAATGATGCCATGTTCTTCCAAGTCAAAACTCGCTTTGGAGAACGTAAGTTATTTTCATGCCTGACAGAGATTAGACAGTAAATTTTTAAGCTGCTCTTTCAGTTCCCAACAACACCAAAAAAAAAAAAAAAAAAAGGCACAAGAGTAAATAAAAAGTTTCCGAGTCCCTGAGGTCCCATCTAACATAAGCATAGAATGTAGATGAGCAAAGTGAGTGGGCGAGTGAAACCATTTGTAACAAAGATCCATTATTTACAGATGAGAAATTTATATTGTCAGCGTAATATCTGTGAGTCTAAACGGAGCTGGAGGGTCTATAAAAGCAGAGCACGTTGGTGCAGATGTGCAGAGCTCAGGGCACAGAGCACATACGAAGGTCCACGGTGGGCCGGCCAGCGCTGCACCCGTTCTAGCCACAGCCTACGAGCAGAAGGTAAGATTAACACTGGGGGATCAGAATTGTGAAGCCTGTTTGGGGGATCATGAAGTGTTTCTAAGTATTGTAAGTTAAGGGGTTGCTTTTTCATTTTTTTCTTTACCAATGAGGACAGAATTGAAATGAAAAACTATCAAATATATTTATACTACTTGAACATAATGAAGTGACAAACTAATTCACAGCAGCAATTCAAAGCAAGGATTTAAAACAGAAGGAAAACAAAGATTCATAACAATAGATTTGTTACAAGACTTAACCATTATGAGAACTGTGTTTTTAGATAAGTAGAAATATTCTGAACAATGAATACTTTTTCTTGGATTTGATCTATGTGTGTACCACTCTGAACAGAAGGCGCCTTTTAGAGTCAACAGAAATGTGTCCATTGTAGAATATATAACAGTAATTTTTCCTTTCAGTTAAAACCTCTAATTATTAAAAGAAAAGATTAAGTTACCGCCTTTCAAATATTCTAAAATGTCTGATAAGTCTAACCAAAAATCAAAGCCTACAAAATCAGCTTTTTAAAATAAGCCATCACATATTTGGTGTTGAGGAGAAGAATCATTGAATACCAGAGATTTCTTTAGATAGAAATGAGTAATGCCAGAAACTAATAAGTAATTACTATGACTGAAGACCAGTAGTAATAAATAACTAAATAACTATACTCTGAAATGAAATTGTAGATGTTCTAAAGTACTTAAGTTCCTAAAGACAAAGAACACATTTACAAAGGTCCTCCATAGGACAAGGGATTAAGTGGTATATGTTTCAATAAAACAAACCTATTAGGAAATGCCCTAACCAATTTTTAAAGTATTTATGTAGCCTAAACCATCAATATATTTAGGGATATAAGGTCTTCTTTCCTAGATCTAAGATTAATATTTCTAAAAGACTTCCTACATCAACAATTACTACCATTGCCGTATTTTTCTTTTAAATGTGAACAAAAATTTGTAATTCTTAAGAAACAACATACTTTTCTTTAGGCTACTAAAAGATGGGAAAAAATAATAGGAGATTCTTATTAAATAAAATTGGGATACTAAATTAATATAAGCTAACATAAAATGAACATAAAATATTTATTTCCTTAGCAATGAGACACAAACTATGAATTTACTAAAAAATGAATATATGAAATTTATAAAAGCTCAGTTCTTTCCTCATTTGATTGTACTAGAAGACTGAATAATCTCTCCTTTATAGCTGTTTATTCCCCATCGTCTCCCAGTGGAACACTTCTTGCTCCACATCTGTCTCAATATAACCTAAGATATTGTCAAAGTTTTAGAGACTTTGGGTGAAAAGTCTACATTTCTACATTATTATGTAGAAATAGATTTACACTGATCAGTCCAAAAATTTTTCAAAAGTATAATTCAAATAAAGAGTGCTTAGTTTAATTTCTAAATATTCCTAAAAGATACTATGATTGGGAATTATAACCAGAAGATAATACCCAAATATACAACTTCTACCACTTACAAACTGGCTAAACAGAAGCATAACAAAATGCTCAGTTACTGGATGTTGATGAACAAGAAGGGTGAATTTATAATTCCCTTTATGTTGCTTTGATCTAATTGGCTACTTAATCTGCAAGCCCTTAAAATTTCAAAGTAAAATTACCACTGCAGGTATTACTATGTATTACCATGTATGAAGTTTCTGTGTTTTGGTGCCAGAGGAAGATAGTAAATATGACTAGAATGTTATAGAAAAGATTGATAGTTTAAAATGATAATATTTGTAAAATCCTTATTTCAAACCAAATGTCTTTTGCTAAAAATACTTGTTCAAATTATTTATGGATAAACATAAGGAAATTTGGGTTGAAATCCCAATTTCTCAAGAAAAAAAAGAAAAAAGAAAAGCTAAACAGGAATGGTGGAGTTTGAAATTAGCAGAGAGGTATCCATGACAAAGACTGAAATTGTGGTTTTCATTCGGTATAGAGGTGCTAGTTCTGTGGGGACATTCTGCCCCCATTTGTGGTGGTCCCCAACCCAACCACACTGCTCCATCACATCTTTGGCATTTTATGGTTTCAGGGGTATTTGCTTCTGACACAAAAACAAGAAATCAGATATATTCTAAAACCAGGTCTATGATATCACTAACTGAAAATGTCATGTCCTGGACTAAATCCACACACACAAATCTAAAGACCTCCGAGACTTCAGAAGCAAGCACTAATTTTCTTGATGTTATTAATCTCTTAATTTTTAGAGGTGATTGTTCAAGTTGCCAGAAGCATTAGTTCTTGTTGCAAATTGCTTGTCTTTAAAATGATTTTTCCCTTTAATTTAGAACAGGTCAAAGCACCCTAAAATACCTCAAATCTGTTGGCCGCTTTATAATTACAAAGTCTAGACCAAGTTACACTATTTAAAATATAAATGAATAATACATCTGAACCGACAGCTGGTATGCCAAGTTGTAGCCTGAGGCTGCTTTAAGATGGTTGAAATGCAGTATAATGTAAACGCTTGGAAGTGAAGGACTATTAATTGAAAGCCAGACTGATAGTGAAGGGGGTGGCATTATGGATAAGGTGCCATTCAGGCTAACCATATGTAGCATATCATCTACAGTGGATATTTTAAATGTTTATTGAGGACATTTTTTTTTATTTCAAGTCTGGAAATGTGCCTTCTAATCATTAACAGAAGTGTCCTACATTAATGAAAAAGCTTAATGGTACAAGGCATCTTTTGTGGTCTTTTTTACCTCCAAAAATCTAGGGAACATGTCATCTACTATTTGAAATTAAGCTGAAAAATATGATCATGATAGAAGTGAAAAGATGATTGTTTCTTTCTTTTCATAATATTTACCTAGCCCAAATCAAACTCACCCTGACAAACTTAAATCTGGTTATTTGCCCCCCCCACCCCCCACTGTGTTCTGACAGGTAGCAAAAATGAAGAGCGTTTACTTTGTGGCTGGATTGTTCATAATGCTAGCACAAGGCAGCTGGCAACGTTCCCTTCAAGACACAGAAGAGAAACCCAGGTATTGACTTAACATAGCACTCTGATTAGAATAAAATCTATGAGAACTGATTAGGATCTCAGTAAAATGGAGTGAATATTCTGCACAATTTTCAATTTATTAAAGCATCATTGTGATAAAGTAAAGCTTTTTCAGAGTATAAACCAAAGCATGTTTTATTTCAGAATCAAGGGGTGGTGGGAAATGCTGAAAAACACGTTATAAGGAAAACCATAGCTCTGCAGAATATCCTACCTATCCATTCATAACTTATACACTCTGTAGATCATTGTAATTGTTCTATTTTTTCCTTTTAATTCCATTTTAAAAACAACACTGTTCCTTGATAATTGTAAAACTCATATGTGTTCATGATGTAAAATATGAAAAATAGGCAGAAATTATTCAAATTTCTGTTCTCCAAAGAAAACTATTCAAAGTTTTAGAAAAGATGTATTGCCCTCCTGAATTTTATGTTACTGTGTATAAAATCTCTCAGCTTATTATAGGGCTTTATATCATGCTTTTTCTCTTAATGTTGTACTGTTAGCTTTTTCTTATATCATTAGAATATATACTAAATGTATATTTAACAGTTGCGGACTATTTCATCTTATAAATATACAACCCTTATTTAGATACTTGTCTTCTATAGAATATTTAAGACAACTTTAAATTTTTATTTACAAAATAATATTTTGCATACGCTACTCCTTGAGTTTTTCGATTACCTGGCTGTAGGTTTTTAACAATAGAATTGCTGTGTCAAACAGTTTGACATCCATTACTCTTTTAAAATATCCAAGTCACTGCTCTCTTCATCATTTTTGGCATATTCCTGAGTAGATTAGTTAATTGAGGAATATTTGATCCTATTTCAGAAAATAATAAAACCAATTGAGGAACATATTACTAGAATTCAAAGTAAGAGTGTATTGAACTATACTAAAGACTGGAGGTTTCCATGAAAAGCTAAGGTCTTTCTAATCTAGCAACTGAATTACCCATCTTAGATTCACAGGAATCTATATTTTGTAGTGAAGTGTCTTTAGTAAGTCTACTCTTGAAGAGATTTGCATTGCACCAACCATTGTTTTCCATAGATCTGTCTCAGCCTCCCAAACAGACATGCTTGATGATCCAGATCAGATGAACGAAGACAAGCGCCATTCACAGGGCACATTCACCAGCGACTACAGCAAGTACTTGGATTCCAGGCGTGCTCAACAATTTTTGAAATGGCTGTTGAATGTCAAGAGGAACAGGTAAGAATTTAAACATGTCCCAAAAATTGTAAGTGTATTAAATGTGCTTAACATTTTATATACCTGACTTTCTTCAATTATCATGCTCCTTAAATAATTACCATAAGGTCTTTGATGGTTTCCAGGGTTAGGGACCACAGTCTTTCATACTATCTCTCCGAATACCTCACCCTCCAATCCTCCAAACCTTACCCACAATCCAATGTGGCACAGACTTTATTTTCCAAACTGTATCACCAACTATAATGTTAGAAATACTTCATTTCATCCATTCTTCCTTAAAATTGAAAACTGAGTTTTGTGGAACCTCAAGGTTAGGAATCAAATTTCTAACTAAAACATACAGCAAATTCAGCATTCCTTTATGGGGTTCAAATCCACAACTTTGATGATATTAAAATTATCCCTTAGTCAAATTCATCAGGGTAAGAAATGGAAATAGATGCATTCTATGTCTTGCAGAATAAAATCCAAGATATGCATTTAAAATTACAGCCTAGCTAGCTGAACAGCATGAAAAGAAGGAATCAAATAAGAACACAAACCTATCATAAGACAGACATTTTAATGTTGGATTTTCTTTGAAGAGTGCTGGGGTTTTAACTGCTGCTCGGCTACTAGAGAAAATTATCCATATCCACAAAGGTTTCACAGAGATAGCGGAGATTCACAATTCCTTTGGAGGACAGCCCATAAAGGGAAAGGAGCTATGCATACAAAGTAGCTGAAGAAATCTAAAAATCAGGAAAAGGACATAGATTTGTCTGAATAGAATGGAGAATGGGAAAGAGGAAAGGCAAGCCTGAGAGAGAGTGGGAACATGCAGGAAAAATATGAGGAACAGAACAGCAAACCAAAGTTACATGAAAGACGAGGGTCCCAGTGCCAGGAAGACGGATGGCATCATGGTCAGATCAGAGATACGTAGAGATTCTTGTTAAGGTTTACACTTAGGCCCTCAGAGAAATGTGAGAAATCACAAATTCGTAAAAATAAAAACAACTCTTCCCATTTTTTAACATGGACATGCTGTAACTTAATAACATAATACAAACATTCTTCCCTTAGGTATTTATTGTATGTTTAAGATGAATCCTTCCAGAGTAACATTTGCCAGGGAGACTGACAGTTGACAGTACTCTGCATTCACTTGTAGCTGAGACGTGGTGATCTTCTTTGCTTTCCTCCCAGAAAAATCATACATTTTCATTTATATGTTATTACATGGGATTTCTGATGACATTTCAAGATTGTCCTTTGCTTTCCCTTGCATCAACTAACTGTGACCCCATATTTACAGGCACTAGCAATGAACATCTACCTTACTTTTGAGTAGCAGAGGAAAATTGAGAGTTTACATTTTCATCTAGTGAGAATGAATTAAAAAGTAATACAGTTTTAGAAACCAATGACACAGATAAGCAAGGGAGGAGAAAATAGGAATGCTGGGAAGGGAAGGAGTGTTTTATTAAATCCCTGAGCATTCATTATTAGTCCTCTCCCGCCCTTCTTTAATCCAGATTATTAATGTAAATTGGAAATGAATCTCTTGAATACCCTCATCTCTCAAAGTCTTTAAGTCCTTGCTACATTATATTCTAAATCCCAGGCTGCCATTGATTAGCAGTGAGAACCGAATGCCAAAGATGTAGAACATCAACTTCACTCTCACGTTTCTTGCAGGAACAACATTGCCAAACGTCATGATGAATTTGAGAGACATGCTGAAGGGACCTTTACTAGTGATGTAAGTTCTTACTTGGAAGGCCAAGCTGCCAAGGAATTCATTGCTTGGCTGGTGAAAGGCCGAGGGAGGCGAGAGTAAGTCTGTACATTCTTACCTGACTTTTCTTCTCCTTGATGTAGAAAATGTAACTCTATAGTCCGACATTTACATATATATCAGGATTATAAAAGCAATTAGTATATTTTTACCAAGTAAGTAAATAGCTCCCACAAATGATAAATTTTGCTAGCAGATATTACCAGAGTCTATCACAGTAATTCCCATCTCCCACTATGGGTTTGTTTTAATTAGGTATTGACTCATACAGATGAGGCATCTTTGAAAGTAAATAGTATCCTTTTGATAACTACACTGGGACAACAAATTTCAACAGACCCAAGAAAGCTGGATAGCATAGAAAGAATAAATTGTGCTGAAAACTTAAAATATTTCAATATTTAAATAAAACTTTTTTTACTTGATGTTTGACTTGAAATAGTTACATGTGTGATTAACATTTAGTCATGTGTTAATAAATATTTATGCAGATATCTGATGAAGACAAAAAAAAACTTAACATAAAATGTAACACTCAAACTAAAGACATATAGAAACAATCATACATTGAACTACATACTCATTTTTATGGTGGTGTCATATAGATATCAAATAAGTTAACAAAGTTCAAAGTGAGACTAAGATGATTAGATACTTCCTTGAATACAAACATCCGCAAATTGTCTCATTTTTGTATAACCATTTTAATAAGCATTTGGTAAATAAGTGGCAAGAAATGTGCATTCAACTCTGATCATTAAATCGGAATTAAAGCATACTTATTGAAATTTAAAAAGATCAGAAAACAAAAAGAAATTTGCATTGTGGCTGACTTTTAAAACATTAACCAAACTCAAAGACTCAATGGGAAAATAATTGTTTTCCACTTAAGGATATTTTCCATGATTATAAAGGATACCCAAAATTCTGCTAAGGCAAATCAGTGAAAGAAAAATCTTAAATTAAGTTTTGATCTCTTAATATTACATTTTGCAAAGCATTATTAATAATGGATTTTTGATAGAATATATTTTACAGAGATATAGCTGAATTAAGTCTCATATTAGCTTCTGTATAACCCAAGATATTTAAGTCTTTGAATCAACCTGGAATATTGCAAATGACATGAAGCTAAACAGACTTGGTTTCAGATCCCAGCTCTGCAACGTTATACCTTTACAGCAGTCCCCAGGTCACATGGGTGTTTACGAGGGGTTTTCTCTTAAGCTTTCTGCACACAGAATCCTGTCCTGAATATACAACAGCCCTTGCACATTAGCTAAAGTAGACAATCCATAAGTGTTTACTCAGACTGTCTAACTAAATGGTAACTTTAACTTTCGTTTTCTTAGCTTCCCAGAAGAAGTCGCCATTGTGGAAGAACTCGGCCGCAGACATGCCGATGGCTCATTCTCAGATGAGATGAACACTATTCTTGACAATCTTGCCACCAGAGACTTTATCAACTGGCTTATTCAGACCAAAATCACTGACAGGTGATTACATTTTCAGTTAATTCTAAAAACCAATAAATCTTTCATAAATTTTATCAACTGCTACAAGTTATTCCCCATATGAAGAGTCTGTACTCTGTTACTATACGATAAAAAAGCATGTTTAAATCCATTGAATCACTCACATATTAATGTTTTTTTAAAAGTGCTATATATGCTGCAATTTTAACACAAGCTGAAATACCATCGTATGTTAAATAATTGACTCAATTTACTAAGCAAAGTAGTAAAAATGAGACATGAATGTAATCAATACTATTGATCTTTTTAAAAATCATACATAAATCTTTATAACTTTTGATGGGCAAAGTTTAGATAAATCATTTTTGAATGAAAAATACATTAGCAATCCAAAACACTGAGAGATTTACAAATAAAAGGATTGGTAAACAATTTGTATCAAAACTCATTGAAATGTTTCCTGGATGAGTTAACTACATTATTTATTATAATCATTTTAAATCATTGTTTTTATTTTTTATCTGTAGGAAGTAAGTATGTCACTCTTCAAGACCATCTTCACATCACCTGCCGTCCACTTGGAATGTTTGAAATTTTAAGTTCTGTAATTTTAAGAGTTGTACTCTGAGTATTTCTTTGCAGGCTATTAAACATTTTTTAGCATTGTATAGCCAAATGATTATAAATGGAATAAACTATCGCCAGAATATTGCTAAAATATCAACTTTACAGTATAAAAGTCCTGTCTCTTGTTTTTATCTTATTTTGGTTGAAGTACCCCAACTTGTTTAAATTTAGCAGTGAAATTATTTTTCTATTATATACTTTGTAGATGTAAATTAATCCAATCTGAAAATATCTGCATGCAATATCAGGAAAAATGAAAACCTTGTAGCCACAGCAGTGAAACTGAAAAGAGAACTTCTTAAAGCCTTTTTCATAAAAATGCTCAGCTTTCAATGTCTCAAAGATTGAATTAATAAAATTTTCAAGCTTCTTTGCTATTATTGTCTGTTTTCTGTTTGCATGCTGATCCAAACATGTATTCTTCCTAAACTGTTAGTTCACTACTCAAGTCTAATGCACAAATACGTCTCCATGTTTTGAGTAGCTATACAGTGCTTTAACATTTTGAGCTAACATTGAAAAATGAGAGTATTTTCTATGAAAGAATTTTTTTCTACTGATTTTTTGATCAGTGAGTCACCAAGGCAAATCTCCTTGCAAGCTACACAGTAACTTCCATCTTCAAAAGGGTTAGATTCTTCCTATAATGTCCCCTACTCCCATACGCATGCCTATAACACAAGCTGTCTATACCCACAGACCCTACCTATGTACCGATGTACATGTCTAGATACTGACCTCTAGCCCAGTTTACTTATACTCTCATCAGTCTAGCACCAGCAGAAATCTAAATTTGTTTAAAAAATTCCCAGTACTTGGTATCCTTGATCTGTGGTGCTTAATACCAATGGGCCAGACTGATGTTTATCAACATATTCAAGATTTTTCTCTGCTAGGTATAGCATTGCCACCTTTATTTCTCTATATTAAAGCATTTTTATAAAGTAGACTTGCCTTAAAATAGTATTACAAAGTTTGTAAATTTGTGTATTTTATCAATAATAAATTTGATACCCTTAATTCACTCTCGCTCATTTACACAATGATGATCTTTTCCTGAGCTGAATGGAAAATTTAAATCTAGAGGAACCTAAGTAACATTAGTGCTAGCTGAAGGATCTTGAGCAGGTCATTTACATTCTTTGGGCTTAAATTCTTCATGTGAAAAAGTAAGTTTAAAATCATGCAAGCAACTTCAGGTCTTACAATCATCAGTATTTATAACACTTGTGTTTGTTTCATAACGAAGTTTCGGTATTTATGGGACCCGGAAGTACTCATCCTAAAATAGTCATGGAACATCTCAGAGCAAAAATTACCTTGGTATATAACAAGATTATATACCAGCCTCTTCCAGCCTCTTATCTTCCAGCCTGTCCAGAACCCAAACCATCATGTCTACTACCAAAGTATCTCAAAGAAGAATCTTCGCAGGCTACTTAACTACTCTCAAAGCAGGGTTTCTCTTTCTTTATGCGCCTTTTACCTGTATAAGATGATAGTGTTGATTGTTAATCCATTCACCAAAAAGATCAAAGAATTGTGTTTTCCAAAGTTGTAGTTGAGGAGCTCAAGGTAATTCACTAATGTTTGCTATGCTTCCTTTCACGCAAATCATTTTACATAATGCCGTTCCCCCAAGTGAACAAGAACTAAAATATGATTTGAAATCTGAATGTGTTTGCTCATGAGGCCAGGGTCAAAAATCTCATGAGTATCTCTGCATAAGCAGCCTTCTGAACCACAGAATATTCCCATACAAAGGAGGTAGATGGATAAGAAATCTTGGACCTGGCTGGAGTGTATGAAAGAGAATGTAAAACAGTGAGTGTGAACCAGGCCAAAGGTCAAATCTGCCAAAGGTCAAATCAGAGAAGATGAATCAACCCTTAAAATCTGGGAGCAAACAAAATATGACAATGAAAAATGAATGAAGAAGCCATATGCGTGTTAAGTTAAATTTATTAGATACAATGTTCCACTATGTGTGAAACAAACCCAACCACAGGAACCCAAAAAATATAAGAGTTTTTAACATTTTTTAAAAAGCTACACAGAAAAAGAGTAAAAACAATACAGAATTTAAAAAATGGTAGAAAATTAACATTATAGGGTAGAGATGGTCTGTAACACAGTTAATATAATGCATATTGTTATTTTAGAAGTAGTTGCTCAGGTTACAAGATTTAAACAAGAGGCACTCAGGAAGGAAGACCAAGGGCAAACAGGTCAAGGACAACCCGAGGTCTTTCTTTCTTTGCTCTACCATCATTAACCAATGGCGATCCTCCCATGGATGCCTAAAGACTGAAAGACTCCATTCCCAGTTTCCGTCTTTCCACAGAAGATGAAAAACAAGCAGGAAAGGAACAAGAAAAAAGTGAAAGACAAAAAAGAAGAGGGCTAAGAAAGGAGAATTGACAATAGAAAAGGGAATCCACCAATTTAGGAAAAGTAAACATCACCAGGAATCCCCAGAAGATTATCAGTTATGTTGTTTTGGCTAGAAATGTATGTTATGACCCATGTTAATTATAAGGGAGGATGAGAAATGCTTTCTTGCAACTGGACATGCTTCATTTTATACAAAACTCTACTAATAAAGAAAAGAGAATACTCAAGATTATGTTGGCTATTAAAATCAAAAGGCATTTAATTACAATCAGAGTTGAAATACCCAAGGCTCCTTTTAGCATCATCTTTGTAGAATGAAGCTCTGTTCATATAATTAAAGGTCAGTCTGGCTTACAGAATGCTGGACTCATTATGAATACTATGGATGAAACACCCAACAAAAATCATATCGGAGACTTCAGCAGAAGACCGACACAGGCGACTTGTCCCTTTAATGGTGGTACTAAGATATAAAACACAAGGTCACTACCCATATTTACATAAAACAATACTGTAAAAGTAAGACGAAAACAAACGAATTTAAATCACTCATTAAAAGAAAAATATTATCAAATTAAGCATTAACAAAAAAATCAACTATGCACTGTATAGAAGAGGCACACCTGAAACACCCAGGAATACAGAAAGAACTAAAAATGAAACCAAAAGGCAGCCAGGCAAAGTTAGATAGATAAGAAAGCAGGGCTTTTATTCTTCACACCAGAAAAGATAGAGCTTAAGAAAAAAGTTAAATAAGAATTGAGTACTTTAATATGCTAAATACTATGATTATAATGAAGGGTCATATAATGTTTGATATCCAGTCAAATATCAATCATTTTTGTAACAAACTACATAAAATTCAGGGAGAAAGAGAGATATATTAATAATAGAAAAATCTTAACACTCCTCGCTTAGTCCAATATGATACCAGTGAAGCAAAATTTAGGATACAGACCATCTCTACCCTAATCAATAAGGTTGATTTTATAGATACATATCAAAATTTTGATGAAGTAAGATACATGTTTTCAAAAGTACGTAGAACATGCACAAAGTCAATCACATACCAAAACACAAAGACTGTACAGTGCTCACTGATGACAATGTAATTAAAAATGAGTTTAAAACTCATATTTTAACAGCATTCTTTTTACCTGGACATTAAAATACATGAGTTTATTCAAAGCAAAATCACAACAGAAAAATTCTAGAATAGATAAGATAATCAAAAATGAATGTAAACTGCAGTGTTATGGCATGATTGCAAGAGAAATTCTTACTATAAAACATTGGGAAAACATGAACAAATATCAATAAAAATAAATAGACAAATCATGAATTCTAAAAGCCACGGAAAGACTAAAAGTAATTATAAATAAAAATGAAATTGATAAATCAATTAAAAAGGCAAAAAAACAAGTAGATAGAAAATATAAATAGTGTAATTCATGATTAAATAAAATCTTTGGTCTTTTGAAGAGAAAATTCAGCAAAATAATTTACTGAAAAAAATTTTCTTTTTAAAGAAGACAGGAAAGCACAAATTTTAAAACGAACAGTAACAAACAGAAATTAATTATCAAGGTAAAGGAGTTTTTAAATTTTGAGGTTAATTTGAATAACTGTTACATTTGAAAACTTAGGTTAAGAAACTATATCAGAAAATATAGTCTACCAAAATTGCCCCTAACGTATAAGAACAATCTGAAGAGTTCCTTTTCCACTGAAGAAAAGCAGTTTTAAAAGCCCTCCTTGCATGGAAGTCCCTGAACCAAAAGTTTTCACAGTCGATTAACTTGTAAATACTAATTAATCTGGAAATAAAAACTTGTAAATCTTTTTCTGAGACAAATAAGTTTTGTATTAATGAAAATAAATTATGCCAAACTTTACAGGTGAATTTCAGTTGTGAATATAGATGTAATAACTTAAAATTCTAACAAAAGAATATGTTAAAAATAATATGCAATGACAAGGAGAATTATGGTATTATGTAAAATAATTTGATAGAAAATCCTCTAAGTCATTATATTAATAGCCATTAGAAAGCCACAAAATCTTCTTTTAAGATACTCAAAGTACCTAGAAAATGTTAAATTCTCATCCATGATGAAATGGTGGTTGATGAATAAATTTAATATGATAAATCATACACTTTGCTTAAAAAGTTTCCAGTTCACTTAGTAGGAAATAAGTCTCAGTGGAGTCCGAAACAAAGAAATGATACTCACTATTTTTGTAACTTGTTCAATGACTGCAACTTACTATGGAGGTGTGGTGTTTGAGCTACAAGCTGCATTCGAATTTACAACTCAGGCATTTGAGCAGCAGTGCAGCCCTGTGGTGGCTTCTACAGTGCTGTGTTTTTTGTTGGTTGTACTGTATATTATACTGCTGGGGTTCTATGTTCTGTTATGCACTCCAGTAGTGCATGCAAGAAAAGTCAAATCATCAAGTCCGAGTTTGTCTGATCATTTATTTGTTCTGAATATTACAATGTACATACTGTATACAAGTCCTCATTTAGTGAACAACTCAGTCAGTGATCTAGTTGCAGGAGCAGAACTCAGACATTAAAGGAAGGATGGCTGTATTATTTGACACTGTTTCAGAGTTACTAAAAAACACAAATAAGACCACATACCTAATCAGGAAGAGTATAGTAAAAGTGTATCTTTCTAAGCACATATTTGTGCATCTGAAGAACTGAAAAGAACCAGTGGAAAAAGTAGCCTATGGAAAATAATAAGAAAATGTAGTCAGTTGGAAGGATATAAAATAACTCTACAGAATGAACAGATTTCAGAAAGAAAAGAAATTAGGGGAAAATACACTTATTGTTATTTGTAGTCATTACAGCCTATAAAATCACCATAAACACTGAATTAGTAAATACTCAAGTACAGATGTAGTTTCACGCACACTTCAGGTAATATTTTCATCAGCAAAAGTGCCCTTTAGCCTTACAGAGGC